CAAGCCTCTCGCAGAGCGCAAGAACTACAAGTCTGTCATCGACGCCTTGAGCTCCATCGCCAAGAACGAGGGTGTCGCTGCCCTCTGGTCAGGGGCCGCTCCCACTGTCGTCCGTGCTATGGCCCTCAATTTTGGTCAGCTCGCCTTCTTCAGCGAGGCCAAGGCTCAGCTCAAGGCCAACACCGAACTCTCCACCCAGGCCCAGACCCTTAGCGCCAGTGCCATTGCCGGTTTTTTCGCTTCTTTCTTCTCCCTACCCTTCGATTTTGTCAAGACTCGACTCCAGAAGCAGCAAAAGGGCCCTGACGGCAAGGTCCCCTACCGCGGAATGATTGACTGCTTTGGCAAAGTTGCCAAGCAGGAGGGCATCTTCCGATTCTACCGTGGATTCGGTACCTACTACGTTCGCATTGCACCTCACGCGTAAGTCTCTCTCGGTTCTATGCGTGCATCATTCGCTAACTTTCGCAGCATGGTCACGCTCATTGTTGCCGATTATCTTGGTTTCCTTACCAAATAAACAGTCCAGCATGAAAGGAACAGTCTTTGGGATAGATGTTTTTATATCAGGCGTTAGGAAAGCATAACTATGGGGGGTTTGGGCCGGAATAGTGGGATACCATTGCTGTCGTTCGAATTTCCTTGTCTCTTTCTGGTCTCTTTGAGTAGCTGGCCTCTGAATAAAAGAATGCCAGTTATACTTGTGTGTTGTCCTCGGGGGATAGCTTTCCACAAAACCCTATTGTTGCCATCTTTGTATGTGTCTCACCATGTTGGCGCTCATCAGATGATATTTATGGGAGTTTGGGATACATCAACAAAAAATATAAGGAATCTCTCTACCTACAGCATCTGTCACGCAATTATCCTTTGACAAAGGTTGGGTACTCATTACACTGAACCTCAACATCTCTGTGCTGAAATCTCTTAGCTAATTTTATCAAGAGAAGGACTACAGTTTAGGTAAGGAATACCACTAGTCTATTAGATCTTGCAACGCCCAAACTGACGGCACCCGTCTCGTGGTGGCTTCATGTACCTGCTATCCCCGCTACCCTGCTCATTGGTGGATTCTAGGCGGCAAGTCGACTGTGCACTGCTCGCGGATGAATCGGGGTGTAAGAAAAAGCCCCCCTAGATACCCTCTCCTTTGAGCTTGAATGAGGTGTCCTCGACTTGGCATCCCGATCCTTTACGCAGCGCCTCCTGAATTGGCAATGGTCAGTCTAGTTCGAAGTTCTGGAACAGGGTCACTTTGATGTCTTGATCCGTCGACTGGCCCGCGCAGAGTACGCTTCTGGAGAAACCCTTAGCGAATTTGTACTTGGCAGACCCATGGCCGCAGTAAGCTGTACACTTGCTCGGCGGAGAAACCGAGCGCCATAGGAGCGAAGCCGACTGTGAGCAGGATTCAGAGTCCCAAAGGTACTGGTACCCGCAGCGATCGCACTTAGGGCCGAGTTGGGACGATCCTCGGACTTAACACCGAGATTGCAGCCACAAGAAGTTACAAAAAGAGGCCCTCCTTCGAGCGGATTGATAGTCGCCCAGTCTGTAAAAGATGGGTGACCGGGTAGGGGCACCGTGTCCGCGAGCTCGGTATCGCTCTCTTGGCCTGGCACCTTAACAAGAGACAAATCGTAACGATTTGGCTGGGTGCATCGAATCGGTACCCGATAGTCCCCAGCCTCTGTTTGGTTGCCGCCCACACGCCTTGGCCGAGGGCACAGTCGGAGGTTTGGACATCTGCTGGGCGTACGTAAAATCGATTGTAATGGCAATGCAAACGTGGTACGTGAAACTTTAGAACACGGTCCTTGATGGTCCAGAACAGCCCAAAGACCATGTCTTGACAGCGTTTTCTTGACTGTTCCGCTGGGAGACGCACGAAAGCGTGCATGGCAGTGGCTACAACGGCTCTCCGGTTGGGAGCCGTAGTCGAAGATCCAGAGAGCTTATGTGTGAGGGGGACAATGTGACGGGTTTTATTGGCACTGTTGAAGGTCGAATGCGTAAAACGTCTCAGTACAGATCGTGCCCCGGAATGTCATGGGCCACGCCATCTTGAACAGAGCGGTACACCCTGTCTTTGCTGGTATATAGGATTTGGATTGCACCTCCAATCCACACCCGCACTCCGCAAGAGAGTGGGAACACCAATCGGAATGCCTTCAGATCTTCGTCGGGCAGTGGACGCCGTGGATTGATGACATGGCCATTGAGGGAGGGAACATACGGAGTAACCCATATTGTATTCCACAACCCCCTCTGAGCATTTGGTAAATGGTAGAGCCTCCAGCCCTGCGACGTGTGTGTATGAGCAACATATTGTGGTTCTGTATATAACCCGAATGTTGCGTCCATCCCTCTCTGTTAGAATGGCAAAGTCTTTTGGTTCTGCATTTGCAAATGCAGGATGGTACGTCCGAATGAGGTGTTCATTTTCTGCGTGACATTAGTTTCTCGCATTGCCTTTAGAGCGCCGAGCCAAAGAGGACCCCAATCTTTGAACTTTGTAGCTATTGAAACCCTGGTTAGTACCTAAATATATCCTGGTTGCTTCAAAACAAAGGCGCTAAAGGCAGAACGGAAAACGAGATTAGAACCCCATTTAGGCACAATTAAGCAATGAGATGCAACATTATAGTCATAAAGACTCCAAATTAGTATGTAGGTGAGAATAATACTCCGACAACCTTGTGGCCGTGTGCGCAAGCCGAAGTTGGGTGCGCGCCTGACCACCCGGACCTTGGTCCGGCTTCGCGCATCACTCATCCAGGGAGTCTCCTGCAGAGAAGCAAGGAAACAAGAGGGATTCTTTTTCCATACGCATTATGAGGCGGCCACTAGTGTGCCAACTGTCAGTCGTCGGTGTCTGGTCCGTCCAGTCTGGTACATGGGCGGGTATATAGGTTCGATCCTTGAGTGTCATCTTGGGTATTGATGGGTCTGGCCCACGATTTGCTAGTACGTATAGCAGTATTGAAGGTCGAAGTTCGGAGTCGAAGGTTGAGTTTGAAGGTCGAAAGTCGAAAGTTCGTGGCTGCATGGGAATCCTAATGACCGTCCCCGACCAAGCTCAGTGCCCCGTTATTTTAATACCCGTACAACATACTATAGATAGCATTGAATCATTCCAGCTTCGGGGTCTTTCCAGGTTGTGAAGTGGTTTCCTAGGTTCAGAGGAAGGTGTGGTGGTGCTTGATTGATCTAGCTTCCCAAGGTCGGTGACTCCGCCGTTCCTAGAAATGACGATAGTCTTGCTATAATTAAATTATGGAATAAAACTGAACTAAAAAATGATAGATGCTGTACTAAAACAGGCCAAAATGTTTATCAAATGTTTATGTTCAATGAATTTATGCTCCAATATCACTCATAAAGACAAGGTGTAGGTTAATGTCGCCGGGAGCAGCTCCCGCAAACACTAAACAGCAAACTCGAATGACATGTGGTGTTTTTCTTCTCTCCGGAGTCTGTCCTTCGATACCGGTGTGGCGAATGACCTTTTACGTTTGTGCCATGGTGAATCACAACCGTCAAACACCGCTCCCAAGCGTTCCAGGAACCAGAGCGAAACATCGAGGCCAAACTCTTAGTCGAGCTCTCGCCGCCGCCATGTGTCAGTCAATCACTATTTGCCCTCAAAAGCTCGAGCCTACTGAGAAGTGAACTGGAACCTGACGTGGCCGGGGAGAGTGGCTGCCAGCTGCCAACCGTCAGTTGTCGGGTCATTGACGACTGGCGGAATCGGGCATCAAGACAAAGGCTCCCTGATCTCAGTCACTATCCATGATTCACCTACTAACCTACCATTCAAGGTAGATTCCTAGTCCCGCGATCAACCTTTCTTCCATCTTAAATCAGCTGCTCATTTCGCACAACGCCTACCCCCGTCTCCAAGCCCCTCCTCCAGATTGTTCTCTGCAACCTCCTGCCGCCCATATTCTTCTTCCTAATCTCTCTTACCATGCTGTTCGACTGGCTCTTCTACTGGCTCTTTGAGTTCTTTCACTTATTCTCCTGCCTAGGTCCTCCTGTCCTCCTCCTTCCCTCACTCTTCTTCCTTCCCCTCATCCACCTCGGAGCAATCATCGCCGAGATGATTTTCGGGGGTAATCATGGCGAAATTTGACTCGACTCTAGCGATTTAAATCGCGAGGTGGGTAAGTGATTTCAAGTAGTCCATGTTCTGTCGAGGGTGATTATTAACTCGGGGAACAAGTACTTGGGCTGGCCGCAAAATCACACCACCGCAGAAAACACCGTCAGAACCCGCCCAGAGGTTCCCGGTCCAGATACGATCATTGGCCGCCTTCTTCAAGACTGATTCAACCATTGAGTGCAGCGCCAATTCTTATGATCTGTGCCTCTCTTTGCGACATATGGGAACAGCCACTGGGCTCTTGACAGCATTGCTAAGCTCCGTGTTATTAGGATGCGACGCCTCACGATTACAATCAGAACAAGCAAATTTGCGGGCCTTTGCCGAGCAGCCCATGGCCTTGCACATTCAAGGAAATCGCAACTCAACGAAGAGCCGATTTGAGGTGGAGAATCTAAAGAATAGAGTGCCGCGATGATCCGGTGTATGGTGATTCTCTTCTCCAGGAGGACAGGGTAAGTGAACCTCAGTGATCGGATCTGTAACAACATCATCAAAATTCTACTACCATTGTGTCTCTTGATCGGCGAGAGAATGGAAGGAGGGTTCAGCGTGCCTGTGTTCAAGTCTAAGTCCCATCCACTCTGGAAGACCTAAATTTGATCTCTTCGGTTGGAACAAGCCACGAAGCGTCTGCCCTCCATACCACCATGGAACTGCACACAAGCCGAAGCCGAAGCGTCAATTCAACCAAGCCCTTAGCACTATCCTCACGTTGCATCTATGTAGGTAGCCAAAACAAATCCCACCAAAAAAAGAGATCCCACATACGTATGCAGTCAAAGGTGCATGAGGGTGTAGGTCAAAGTCACTCCAAAAAGAATAGAACAATAAATGCCTTCAGGCGGAATCGAACTGCCGTTTCCAGTGCTTTATGAATGCGGTGAACCACAAACTGGTATCCTAACCACTAGATGATGAGGGCATTGTAGAGCTTCCAGGTGCGTTATAAACGAGTTTGTTAACTTGGTCCATATCCTCCACCCAAGCCAAAGCTCCATAGACAGTGGGTCACCATCCAGCATTTGCATGGTGCAGCTAACCAGACAAACATTGACTTTCATGCAGGTGAGCGATTCTGTCAGCAAGGAACACGGTTGTTGAACTTTGGGCTTCATCTTCTCTGCGTTCGTTGAGTTTTGGGATTGCCCCGAGGTGCAACCCAGAAACATGTCAGACCTTCTTCCCCTGCAGGTTGGGACCGGCACTAAAGATTGGCGGAGACGTGGTGTTCAACCCTAGGTACCTATATAAATTGGCGTTGACCAATCCACTAGTCACTCAACAGACTTTTAAAATTACTAGTGCTCGTGGTAGGTGTCTTTGTTATCATAGAACAGGAAATTGACAGTACAGGGTAGTTTTGCAGTGAGTGATGCTTTTCAGAGCCTGACCTGGGATGAGTAGGCCTGCATGTGCTTCTGTGATCATGGATCACGAAGCAAAAAGAATGCCCATGGGCGGAATCGAACCGCCGTCGTCAGTGAGTTGATAGACAGAGATCCACAAACTGAAATGCTAACCACTATACCACATGAGCTTAGCTGATATTCCGGACTGAGAATTACGCCATTTGTGATCGGGCCGCGCTTATTGAAGCAGATGAAGAAGCAGCTTCATTGTGTAAGTTTGCCAAACGGTCAGTGCTAGCGGGCTGGCAACAACAAAAATGAAGTAGGCGGGGACTTTCCATTCTTCCTCGATGCATTAATTTTCTAGGCTTCACCAGCTCGGGTCATTTCTGTTCTATAGTACTCTAGGGTGGTTGATCAGGTTCCTAGCATCTGTTTTCTTCGATATCTGGAAATGTTGGATGAAGCCTAGCATCACTACCCGCACCCCTGGATAGTTTTCATCGGCCCGTGGAAATATGAAGCCGGTGAGCTGGCCTTTTCTTTGCGGAATTAGACCGACGTCATATAGAGGGGTATAATTGCGAATACCGAATACATATCTATACTCCAACCTCTAGCAGACAACCAGGAGCGCATACGACACAGATGAGCAGAGGAGTGTGTGCCACAAGCCATGCCCACTTTTTGAAATCAGACGGTAGTCAGAATACTTAAGCCCTTAGCAATGGAAGTTTAGTCTTCTTCAAGAATGAATCAGAAAAAAATAGTTCCAGTCGAGCCGCCGTTCATAGTAAGTACTCTATATGATGGAGGGACAGCTGGAGAGGATGGAGGAGCTGAGCAGGTTTACGACAGCAACACGGCCCCACTTCCGGCCCCACCATGGGTCCTAATTGAATGACCCGGCCCAGGTGGTCGGCATGGTCAATGTGCGTTCAACAGATGGATTGCGATGTTGCATTTGTAGTCCGATGGGAGAGAGTCGGGTGTAAAGCCCTCCGACTGGCGGTCTGCAGACTATTAATCGTGTTGAGGGTAATTGAGGTAGCCATGGAGGCGTGGAGAATACTCTCTTAAAGAAGTGTATGCTCGAGATTATAGGGTGAGTAGCACTCTCTTGGGTGAAGAATGTATGATATGTCTGTCTCACTGTGAAGCTCAAAAGTGAGGGACACATTTGTCAACTTTGACCACACGAAATCAATGTCGCACATCGCAACACATTGACAGCACTGCAATGGAGTAACTTGGTAGAACGTTGAGTGTTGTCCTGCTAATACTTTGCTGTATGTTCAAACGGCCCTCTCACGTCATCCCAGCAAAAGAACGGCTGGCCCGCACACATTGATACGAACCACGACCACTGCCGTGATGAATAATGCCACAAGAGGCAAAAAGACATGCCCATGGGCGGAATCGAACCGCCGTCGTCAGTGAGTTGAAGGTTCCACAAACTGAAATGCTAACCACTATACCACATGAGCTGATGTGATAACTCGCTGGAGACGAGTTGTGCTCCTGGTTGGTGAAAATTGCGCGATTATTTTCATATATGCACTTGACTGAAGTGCAATGCCCCTCCAATCCACCCGCCACCTCACCGCTCCAATGAAAGGCCAAATTGGGCTCCACAAACATTGGCAAACGTAAAATTGAGCGGGGATGTGGCATGTCAACATCAGACACAAGCGTTATGAGGATAACTTTCTTCACAAATTCTCCTGCGTTAGACTTTACAAATGCTACGTAGAGGTTGGTGAAATTTTATTTTGTTAACTGCTTTATCTTTCCACGTTTGAGAATTCTCTGTCATCGCTCTGTGATGGACACATTTGACCTATGCGATCAACTGCCTCAAAGCAGACTCTTGTTGGCTCTCAATGTCTCCCAAACGAGCCACCTCCTTGCCCTATAAAAAGTTGTTAACTTAAGCCAAGGATTGCCTGATAGATGATCTGACTGACATTCTCGATTCTCACGACTGTCGGGACGCCTTGGATGTTGTAAGGCGCACTCCGATACTTGTTCTTCTTTGGGCCCCTCCACTCCTGGAAGGAGCCCACACGAACAATGTGCGCCGTAGGAGCAGAGTCAGCTCCAAATACATTTTTTAGAGCAGGAATGGCGTCGCGACAGTCGGGGCACCACGAAGGCTCTCCAGAGGCAAAGTACACGACATAGTGAGTCGCAGCCTCGGATGGCGGGGTATCAGCGTCGAGGAGAGGCATTGTAAGATAGAGCGAGAGCGACGAAGGTTGAAAGTTGAGAGTTGAGAAACAAGAGGGTATTTACAAGGAGAACAATCGACTTGGGAAGTAGATCTTGGTCAAGGTCAAGATATGAGAAGTTGAGAAGTGGGGAGATGTGCTCATCTTGACGGCCTATTGCGCCGTCATTTATGGAGCACCGTCCCCACACCGAATTGGTCATGCGCGACACCAGTGGTTCTTCATGTTGTGTTCCCATCGTGAGGTCTTGACACTTGAAGCTGTCAATTGACACCCGTCTTACAAACCTGCTCCCATCCAATCAACATGGCCTTGTAGGAACCTCTATAGAAACTTCGCTACACTGATAAGAGACTTGGGGCACCGCAGTAATTCAAGAGCAGCCTCCTACAGACGGTGCCCGAGTTTCGCTGAGAGTGAATCCTTGAACTTGTGGTAGTATGGGTGGCGGAACAGCAATCGGGACATCCGCCTTTTCAGCTGGCCTGTGCAATAGGCATAAAATCCATCATTGTCACGGCCTCGGCTTCTCGACATGAGCTCCTCCGAGGTCTCGGCGCCACAACTTGTTTTGACTACCACGACGAAGCCGTGGTAGAGCAGGTCAAACAGGCGATACCAGATGCTGGTCAAACACGAGTTTGGGGGTTCGATACTACGGGTACAGCCGATTCGTCGCGCCTCCCCCTCAATTCTTTAGCAGGCTTCAAAGGCGATACCCGGCTTGCATTTGTCGGTCTAATAATCGGTAATCGTCCAACGAGCAAGGTAGCTATCGCCATTCGTCACCAGAGACTCGCTCTTGACGTGCCTGGAGCACCAGAGCCCCTTGTTTCCCCAGCAAATTCCGCCGCGGCTGAGAAGATGTGTTAGGCTACTGAATGGGCGATTAAGAATCACGGAAAGGATTTTAAGTTGCCTGGACTGCGAGTCTTCGAAGAGACTGAGAGGTACTGGATCATCTTCAGACAGTGGCTCAGTAGGGAGCGTTTGGCAAACTTGTGCTGAAGCGTCCTCTTAAGTGATTACCGGACTAGCATACACTTGTGTTGAAAAAAAAAAGAGCTCAAGAGTGAAGAGAACCCTGTATACTGTATATCAACTCGTGTCTGTAATACGAGTGTGAAACATGAGAATGGTTAGTGCTGCCTCTTTCGGATAGGAGAACGGCGAGAAGGGATATTGCGTAAGAAGACGTTGGCGAGAGATGACATGTGAAAGGGGGTCTTCAACAAGTAGAATAGTGTCAGGGCTGGATTGGTGGCATGGGGACTGCGAAATTGATGCGGTACTCAAATAGGGCACCCATTCTCGTAAACGTACTACCACAATGCCGAACTCTTTCGGCATTTGGAGAAAAGAAACGCAAAAACCGAGCTTTTCAGATGACGCAATGTATTTCGACGTACGGCACTAATTAAACCTGGCAACTCGGAATACAGATATCACAATATTTACCCTGCTATGACTCGTTCATGTTAGGGGCCGATGAACTGACTGTCCTCTCAGTGCCTTTGGAAATTCCCAACCTCCCTTTACCAATGCAGGCACTACCCTACAAATAGCTCTTCAGGAAATTGGCCGTATCGATAATTGTCTGCTCCACAGTGTAATGAGACTGCCCTGTTGCCTTGATTGCTTTGGATCCATCAATGATTCTGTCTTCTGGGAATGCAAAGTCTGGGTTGTAGCCCTCGCCAGGCGTCCCTTTCTTGATGATGTCGCGACGATCAGGGAATGCCTCACGGAGAATATCAGCAGCTGCCTGGGGAGGTACCATGCCCCTAGCTAAGATATATCGTTCCCCGTCGGCCTTGTCGGCGTGATCAACTCCAAAGACAACGACTCTAGCAATGTCTCGGACATCGACAAACCCAGGCTTGGGTGTAAGTGGAGCAGGAATCTCCTGTCCTGCAAAGACCTGCAAGATGAAGGCTGTCGTGCCACTGATCTTGGAGAGAGACTCGAGTGCCACTGGAGGGCCCATGACGAAGCTGTCGCGCAGTCTGTTAGCGAACTATCTGTAATACCATGTGGTCCAGAGGACTTACGTAGGGTTGACGGCTGTCATGGTGAAGGACGGTTTCTTTGCATCGCGGAACTCCCAGAATGCGCGCTCGCTGGCGACCTTGCTCGCTACATAAATGAGCGGACCTGGAGCATTTTTGCCGGCGCTCTTGACAAGAGGCAGAGCCTCAGTGTTCCAGTCTGCTTCGGTGAAGCGGTTCGAGTCCGTTTTGTTGTTTGAGACGGCAGCGATGGAGGACATCAAGACAACGCTCTTGATGGAGGATTCTTTGAGTGCCGATTCCAGGATGCCGCGGGTTCCCTCGACCGCTGCCTCGAGGACTGGGCCCGGGTCCGTGAAACTGAGACTCACGGGGGAAGCTAGATGGGCGATGGCGTAGGTGCCTGAGAGGACTGTCAGTCACAAAGTTAGAAGTTCTCGGAATAATGCGCACCTTTAACGGCGGCATCGAATGCACCGGGAGCAACGATATCGGGAACCTCGACAATCTCGATGTCATCTTGATATTGAGATAGCGCCTTGACAAGACCATCTGCAGAGGACTTGGATCGGACCGTGCCCCGTATAGCATAGCCAGCCTTGAGGAATGCTTCGATCACGGGGCCGGCGATGTAGCCATTGGCGCCAGTAACAAGAACAATGCGCTTGTCAGACATGATCTTTGACGAGGATGAGCTTTGGGAAGAAATTCAAAGGATGTAGTGAATCTTGAGGCTACGTAATCGGGAGCTTGTAAAGATGATCTGGTGCCCGAAGAGGCTCTACAAGGCGTACTTTATACCCTCTCCGAACCGAGATAGAGCGCATGTTGGCATCGCGTCTGCTAGGTTCTGGCATTGACGAAACCGGCAATAGCGGCGATGGCGTTTTCGAACGGGCCAATACAAGCAACGAGACGACACTCGCCCCCAGACATCATGGCTAAAAGGGCTGCCCGCAGCTTCAGATTGCGGAGTCGGGGCTCACAGATCGGAGAGTATATATAAGAAACCCGGTTTGGCCCATTGGACATTAGCTGACAAAAGTTGGGGCGCAGAAAAGGCTGGCGGTGATACAGAGGAGTCCACAGACTTGGCCGATTACTGATCAAGGATTTGGAAACATTGGCTGTTGTCTCGGTTGATTACGGGCGAGTGATGTGGGAAATCCGCACTACAAACGTGTTGAGCTGATCAATAATCGCCTCATAGATGCCTTCACAGAGTCTTCTTCGGGGAATTCATGCGTCCTGGACCTTGTCAAATGGATGGTGCTGTGAGACGGCCAGCTGGCCGGGGCCGAGACTAATGATCCACCATGTATTGAGGGAACCTTGAAATGTCCATAACCCCGGGAAGTAGAATGATTACTCAGATCCCCGAGTATTCTCTCAAATTCTCTACATGAATGTCAGCGTGAACACCAAGATTTCTCATCTTCGATCGACGATGTACCTTTTTTAAGGTGCTGACGCTGGGCGATCCCGTTGACGAGCCGGTATCAACGGCCCAACGGCCCAACGGCACCAACGATGACGAAGTTTGGTCCATTAATCAGCTGCGCAGCACCACGTGACTTCGCGACATGCATTTTCGCGATTCCACGATGACGCAACTGGTTCAGCATGCATTAACACGAACTTCCGGCTTCACACGCGGTATCTCTTCACCCCAACAAAGGCATCCCGAGAATGCGCTAATTATGGTCGGTCGGAAACGGACTGCGACAAGGGCTAGCAGCAGGCGGAGTGCTGCTGCGGCGACACCAAGCGCACCGGATGTCTACCAAGGCATGCTGGCAGATGCTGGCGTTGGCGCCCAGGATCGAACTCCCCCGGAACGACCGCTGAAAAGGCGCCGTGCGGGTACAAGCCGAGAGGTAAAGGCCTCAGAAAAGAAAGATGCGGAACAGGGATCTTCACCATCAACTTCCAAAGCAGTTAAAGGTGGCACGGCAGCACAAGTTCACGACAGTGGCTCCGATGAGGAGGACGTTGAGTTCCAGGATGTTGTCTTGCCGGAGCCCACCTTACAGACCATGGAGTTGGAATCTGATGACGATGACGAGGATGAAGACATAGTCTTTGAAGATGTTGATTTTGGCGTTCTCCCCAAGGAAACACCAATTAAGGAGCCCAAAGAGTTGGTGCTCAATCTCACGGCTCAGCAATCTACTACAGCCCAGACAAGCAAAAGTGCCGAAAGACGAAAACCTCTGACTAAGGAGGAGAGGGAACGTCGAGCCGACA